AATCTCGAGAGGTGCCTTCTCTTGGGCAGGGATGCAGCATGAAAACACTTTGTTCTTCCCAACATTTATGAACAAACCGACCGATTTCGCGACCTCGTTCACCCGTAACACCATAGACTGGAGATCGCCAAAGCTTGATGCTAGTAAAGCGATATCATCGGCATAGTCGAGGTCAGTCAACCGGCGTCCGGGTTCAAGCTCAATACCGTCGCTTCCTCCCCTTACCGAATTCGCGTAGACTTCGTTGCTACGATTTCCGTCAGTTTGCGGATCAAATTGTTACCAGATATTTTTATCGCGCATGCAAAGCTCTTGATAGAGAATATGCACGTTTTGCCCACATTTCCTACCACTAAAGAATAAAATAGTATCCTAAAATCCAAGCGACATTACGCCATTTTCACTTGTAGATTCTAGCAGCAAAGCCGAGTCTTTACAACGTCCTCGCGGCACAGGTGCGCCCCATCCACTTGTTGCTCAACCTTCTATCGCATGAAAATACAGACATAAGTGTAAACATCGTCGATTTGCTCAATGAACTCCTCAAGCCGGATGGCCTGAGAGAAGCTGGCGCTGAAGCCGTGAACCCGCTAATCGACCTCCTCTTCTCAAACCAACTGGTCCATCTCCTAACCCAGAATCTGGCCCGACTTGATGAATCCGTAAAGGACGAGGCTGAGGGTGTCCATACTACCCTCGGTGAGTTGTCTGTTAGGCAAATAAACTGAAAGTATTTAGTTGTCGAGTCACTGTTGTCAATCACAAACAAACTACTTCCTTGATTTAAGTAAACCGTTTTGTTTACTTAGTCTTCAACTTTGGTGAGAATCTAATTGAACAAATGCAGTGAACGTGTTGTACGCTGTTACTTCACACATGTCGCATATTTTGAATACTTCTGTTTAATTATTAGCTTTATGCATTTTGCAGACTACAAAACCTTTAGACTTTTTTCAAATTAACTACTTTTCTTGTATGCCTGTACCGTTTAAATGAGATTCTTAAGGGTTTCTCTCACTTACTCAAAATACGCTGACTAACTGCAGGTCACATTTCGATCGTTTAAACTCGAGTTCTAACCTGGAAATACCGTCGCTCATATGTTTACTCCAACTTTGGTATGACTTTTCACACTCCCCAGGGATAATCGAAAGCCTCTTGGATGTGCGACCCGATCTTGCTGTGCAAATCGCACAACAGGGTATCTTTGCCTGGATCCTCCGCCGCATCCAACGACGCACCTTTGACAAAAACAAGCTCTACGTCTCCGAGGTGCTTGCAATCCTGCTCCAGGTTGATGACGCTAACAAAACGCGTCTGGGTGAAATGGATGGCATTGATATCCTCCTCCAACAACTGGCCGTCTACAAACGACACGATCCATCCACTCGCGAGGAGGCCGAAATGATGTACAATCTGTTTGACTGTCTGTGTAGTTCGTTGATGCTGGCTGGCAATAAGGACAAATTCCTGAAGGGTGAAGGTGTCCAACTAATGAACCTCATGTTGCGGTAAGCTGCTGCTGCTGCTGCTGCTGCTTGCCCTCCCCCCGCCCCCTTTACCGTCGCCCCTTTCGCATGCACCATGATACAGCCCTGTTTACTTTACTACTAATCGCTTTTAAGTAATCCTTTTTATTGATATTAAAACAGCGAGAGGCACGCTGCGAGGGATTGTGCCCTTAAAGTACTCGACTACGCCCTGTCTGTCGTATCCTCCCCAGCCACTTCGAATGCCGAGGAAGGAAGTACTGAGGACTCCACCTTCCTCTCCGAAGGAGAG